GAAGGTAACAATCATTGAGATCGTGCTCAAGAACCTCTGAGCGCTTTCAAATCTAGCTGTTAGTCACCCACATTTGCCTCTGAACAAAGGCAGACGTGATCAGTGTTCAAAGCATCCAGTCAGAATGAGAAACAGATCCTATAAAACAAAATTACTTGCTATCACATAGCTTTCCAGTATATATTTTCATGCTTATCCATATCTATATGCATTAAACAATATTTAATTTTAAATTGCTAAGCAGATTCACAGTCTGCAATAGTTTCCAGCTTTTGAAAACACATTGGGCAAAACTACTTAATTATCCTTTTTCATAAAGTGGCAAGTGACATTTATGAAGCACAGAAGGAGAGAGAATTTTTTCCCAAACTCCTATCATACCTAACATTAATGCACCAATTGTATAAAATGAGCATCAAAAGATTTAAAATATTTATGTTTTGAAGAAAGGACATATATCAAATTGACATCACCATGTAATTATGACCTCTAGAAAGTAACCTTCAGTGCAAGACCATTAAGAATTTTTGTAGACTTTTATACCCCAAACTGAGGACACCTGAGTTAATCACACCAGATAATATCCTCTACTAGTGCAAACACGCTCCCCCTGGCTAGTTCAAGGAACTGAAAATATAACTTAATAAACACCAACTCAACGCCCGAATCCACTTGTCAGAAACCATGACCTTATTGGTAACCACCTTCACCACAAAAGGTCTTTACTTGAAGGCAGCATGCATAGAATAAACACACTCACAAGGTCTTTTAAGCATGGAATGTGGCATCCTCAAAGACAACACCTAGGTCAGTAGACCCTTCAATTCCTTCTACAGTATAGCCTAGTAACACCACCACCAAAACTTGAGGTAAAAATCCWCCATATGGAGAAGGGAGATTATTGTCGACTTCATGGAAAGGCTGAATCAGGTCTACAGGATCATACCAGCTGGCCTATTAAAGAAAAACTACAATAATTCAAATAAGTTTAACCTATTCGTAGCTTCTTAACTGTTTACACACAAAAAAATAGTGTAGTGAAATAAAAATCTCCTTAAACTGTTGAAAATCTCAGACCCCAAGCATAGGCTGTAAGCATGCACAACATATTCTGGTCCTCATGCACTTACCTCCACTGCAACAACTGCAGAGCCTTAGGTCTGATGCATTTGGTTATCACCACATCTCACCTTTATCTTAATCTCCTTGCTATTTGAAGTCACTGTCCATTAATTTTCAGTCTAAACCAATACATTTTACCTACAAATCAGAGTTATTCCACATATCAGCCTATTAAAATGATCCTCTACTTTGCTATCTTATGTGTTACTTGATTATTMCAAACAGAAAGTAGAGCAGAAAACCTGTATCTCCTTAGACTTTACTACTTTATCAATGCAAAATAATTTAGCAGTCATTAATTGAATTTCTTCTGAGAAACATCATTAGATGTTATATTTCAACAATGTAGCATAAGAGCTGTAGCTTTTTAAAAAATTTAACTGAACATCTATACATTTTAGTTTGACCTAACTGAAAAAAGGAACAGGTAACATGGATTTAACAAACCAGTACCAGCTTTCTGAACTCCCTCTTCAACATACATACCAAATTGCAAACAACATTAAATAACAATAAATTCACTGTACATTTGCAAACAACATGCACTTTGATTTCATAAAATAGAAACAACATATGAAACACAGTATTTGCATTTCATAGACAGTAGAGGCTATGCACAAAACGCATGCAGTCTAGTGAGTTTTGCCCACTCCAGCTTTACCAGGTAGGTAGGAGATTAGAAGAGCTTTATATTTTTCATTATCATATTGCATATTACAGGACAGGAAACAACCACCCAACAGCAAGGTCTAAAACTCCAGGCTCCACCTCTATATTTTGAGGTTACCAGAAAATTCCATACCCTTTTTGTTTGCTAGTTGTGTTGAGTATTTCTGACCGCACAGCTTCTACAACGCAATTGAAAAAGGGCCTCCAATTGGATCCGTCTACAGCATGGTTCATCTCATCTCAAAGCAGGAGGCACAAGTCTGATTCTTTTTGCCAACAGCAAGACACAAATGTAGACCCTGGGCAAGCAGTTTTGGGACTGGACTAGCACACAAGATTTGTGCAAGCCAGACTATGTGGTCACTTTTCAAAGGACTAAGCCCTGTTGACAGAGATTCCCCATACTGAAGTGGTATTTCAGATCCTGGGTACCAAGCAGTTATGCAACAWGAATCAAATGTCACTTCTGTCCTTCAGACATTTCTGTGGCCAGCATTTTCCTTCAACCACTTCGTGACCACCCCTGCTCAGGATGTGGCTGCCAAGAACATGTGATTGCACTCTCTTCAGCAAGGCCAAATCACCACTTTGGAAGTTACCACCTCTCAGTGTTGYAATACCAGTATCTTGCTCTGAATCATCACCACTTGAGTGAAGGACCAATTGCTTGGAATTTTCCTCACTGTCATTTTGAAGTTCAAGGTGTTTACCACCTTAGACTAAGAACCTGAAAGGTCCAGGGGGACTCTTCAGATTTCTACATAGACAAGGCTCTCTTGTGGACTAAGTACTAGAGTTAAAAACAACTTAAAGATACTAACTCCCTCCCCATCCTCCCCAATTTACTAAGAAAAGCAGACAATACAAGCATGCAGTTCCTTGCAAAATAAGGACACTTATTAATGGTTAAGTATGCTAAAAAGATGCCTAAAGGCCCAACTTCAAAACTACACGTCAAGAGAAATCTTTTGCTTCTGCATCTCCATAAACTAAGAACACAGACTTACAGTTCACACCCATTTCCATTTTTTAAAAGCTAACACTTAACAGGAGTCTATTGAGACTTTTCAAAACTGCTTTTTCTCAACAGAAATCGACTGCAGCTTTTCAAAAACAAACAAAAGCAATGCAGACTGCACCATTTAAATATCAGTTTAGCTACATRCCTGTCCTAGTAAAAGTACCTTTGGAGAAAAAAAATGCTTTCCAGGCAAGCAGGCAAGTTTGTTGGCACGGAGTCAGCTAGTACATGAGCTCGGAATTCACCCACTACGCACAACTGCCCTCAGCTCAGTGAGTATAACCGAGTTGCTTGGTATGGCATAGCCTTACGTTGAGCATCACACACAGAACATACACATGGGCAACTACCACAGCGAAGCTGATATGCTATAAGATCACAAGTGTACTTAGAACACGAYTAACTGGCCCAGATGTCCATCCTGTCAGAAGGAATAGAGCTACGAGGCAAGAGAGACATGGGGCAAGGCACACTTATCCTGATAGAACTATACCTGCAGTTGGGATTATATTAGGAAAAGGTATCCTTAGAAAAAGCTAAAAATCATATTGAACCAAAGTATGTGAACTAGATGAAGATGATACTTGTAATTTTTTTTTTTTTTTTTTTTGAATTAGAAAGCTATTTGTCCAATGGATGAGACCACATAAACAGCTTTAAAAAGAAACAGGCAAGAACTGTAGATACAGGAGACATAGTAGAGCAGCAAGAGCAGCATGCTTACTGAATACACAAAAAGCTTATTTCACAGTAGCCATATTCACACTTCTTGCATAGAGGCATATCACTTTTCATACTTCATTAAAGTCCTATTTTTCCTGTAGGACATTCCAGCTACTACGACAAATTGAGGAAAGAAAAAAAAACAGAAAAAGAACAGGAGGAACAGAAAAGAAAAATATATCTTAWGATAGATTGAAGGCTGAAATACCATAACTCAGGAGCTCTCTTGTTGAATCATATAATCATAACTATTAAAGCTTATTCTGAAATACTTTTTACCGTCACAGGACTATTAATGTCACATTCAAATCACTCTAGGGCTTTTTGTGTTGTTTGTTGTTGTTGTTGTTTTCCTGTTCACGGGGATACAATGACTCTTTGGCACACTTCCAGCTCAAGATGCATTTGAATAATACATGGCATGCCCTTTAGCTAGCATCATAATGCCAGATTTAAAACAAGGTAAGAAGTTTCCTCCACACACACTCACCGTGTTCAGCTGTTCATAATCTATAGCGTTAACAATTTATCAAACCCAGAGACTTGCTGCCAACTTATCAAAGTGGCCACTGGATGCATATGATCTAGTCTGAGCATCTGGCTCTTCACTGCTCCTGACATTAGCACAGACAACAGAATCAGTGGACTATTGAATGCAATTACAGTAAGCGAGACAGACAATAAAGATTGATAGCGCCTTCTCTTTTTATCACATACAAAACTAGTGGGGGTTAAAGCTTTGCCTTGAGCTGCCTTCATTTAACAATGATTGAAAATATGCAATTGTGATGGTAAAACACTGCAGCCTGTACCACTTCATTTACTGGACACATTATCAAATTAAATGAAAAGTGAACTGCCAAAAGCAACAGTTATTATATATTAATGATGAATATTTACTTAGCATTGTTCACAAATCATACAGAGAGCAGAATCCTTCTTGTTATCTGCTTTGCAGGCTACAGATGAGTAGTTTAACATTTCCATGTTTACGTTAAGACTTCTGTCTGCAAATCTCTAAATAGACACGTACGGTTGGTTTTGTGACTATCCATGTGGTTACAAATGTGTAATTAATAAAATGCTCCAGTAGTAAATGAATCCTAATTGCTGACAGGATTCTTTACACCTTGTACCACTGTTGGCATTCTTGAAACTACTTAACTAACCAAAGAAACTTGAGAAAAAACAACATTCTGTTTCCATCAGGCTTTATATCATTGGTCATACAGCATATGATGTCTTAACAAATGAAAAAATCCAAAAGCTGCCAATACAATGGAATTATCTTCAATATCTCTATTACACAATACCCCCAACCATTTGATTACCATATAGCAGGTGAGCTAAAGCCATGAGATACATTTAAAACTACACAGACAGGAAAGATGAGTTATGCAAATATTATGCAAGTAATTGATTGTTTCATTTAAAACTAATCCATTGCTTTTACAGAACRCATGCTAATAATATCATTTCTCTGAATTACATCCAAATAGTCCTACAATATGATGATTTACTACTGAATGATGAAATTACAACATTTGTTCGTGTCTTGCTTTGTATTGATTATTTTAACAGATTTTTTWAAAAAAATACCTTAATAGGAGTATCATGGGAGCATTGTTATAGAAGAATTAAGAGTATAGACTTTCCTAAAAGCTCAAAGATAAACAAAAATAGCTTCACTGTAACCCACATTAAAATAATGATCAGTTTTAGATGAATTACATTTAAGTAATAGGCGGATAGCAAGTGCTTCTGGCTTCTGTCATGCACCAATATCCACACAGGCATCTTTGTGCCTATGTATCAAGCTCTGTCAACTTGACAACAGCTCCTGACACAGGCACTGCTCTCTGTGCAAGTGGCATCGTGAGAGATCTGAGACCAAATAAATAAATTTAGAAGGTGTAGTGAAAATAGACATTTGTTTCCCRGCTCTGTTTTCCTCTTTACAGACTTAGTCACATGCAGTCATTCACAAGGCACTTGCTAACACACGTGGAACTGCATCACCAGATTTTAAGGAAACTCATTTTATTCCAGGATTTTGATCTCACCTCTGCAAATTATCACTGTAAAAGCACTGTGCACTGAACAACATAGAAGCAAATGAAGAGAAAAAAAAGAGTTTGCCTTTCTGGCCATATGCTAGCATATAAACCATAAAAAGTGACAAACGCACAAATATGCCACAATGGAAAACTATGAGCTGGTCCCATGCAATAAATCAGAAAAGCAACACGTTGCATGGTACTGTTTAACAATAGTGTAAAAATAGCTGTAGGAAACTCTGCCTAACGTGGCCCACAAACAGCTTTGGAAGGGATGATGCAGCAACAAACTGCAAGGAGAACAAATTAATTATATTAAGTCTACTGAAAACAGGAAACTAAAGACACTTCTATTTTTGAATGACACTTATTATCACTCTCCCCCCTCCTTATGCAGAAAACAATGCTAATTTTAAGGGTATTTTTCAAGAAACACATCCTTTTTATTATGTTCACATTTGTTTGCTGGAAACACCAAGAGAAACATTAAATAGATTTCCCCTCTCGACTCTCATCTAAGCCACTTTTTCCACTTGAATTTCCAAATAAAGTTACAATAATTTGTTCCACAAAGCAGGAAACTATTGAAGCTTCATTTTCTACAGTCTTTTTTCCTCCTCCCATGTCACTTCATTCCCTTTATCACGTAAAAGGCATCAATGAATCTGCTGGGGCTTATCCAGAACTATGCACACATCGGCAGGTCAACAGAGGACAAAAAGATCCCCAGTGAGTTCTGTCCAGCTCTTCCTCAGCAAGCTACTTATCCATGTTCCTTATCCAGACACCAGTAATTATCTAACCCATAAAAAAATCACTTTTGAAACTTCTGTCTCCTTTTTGGAGTGGTTTACAAATGGTAAAGCCAGTAGAGGGAGAGGACATAGGCCACTAGGCCGAACCTTGTTGCCTTAGAAAATGAGACTAGACATGAAATGGAACCACAGGAGAAGATATCTAAATGCYGTGGGAGGAGGCTAGACCATTCCCCTTTATTTTCATGTTGGAAACCTAGGAATATTACARTTTGAGCTGTCAGTCATGGATAACCAAAAACAGTTAAAAATCTTACCCTCAATATGGCTCAAAATTGTGGCAAATACACCTCAACCCAACAGAGACTGGCATAATACCAGCCCTACACCATATATACATAGCGAGTAGAATCATTTTAAGAGAGAAGTGATCATATCACAGCTATTGGAATCGACCTGCACATGCAGATAAATATTGTGCTTGTAGATTCCAACGTTCCCAAGTTTCAGTGTGCATTTTCCTACTTTTTTAGTTGTGCATTTTCCTACTTTTTTAGTATCTTCACCAAAAAAGTGTCCAGCTGCACCATCCTTCAGAAGGATAAAAAAATAAAATCAGATCAGATCACAGTGACTTTACCACTGCGGCTGAAGTGGAGAGAGGCCTCATTGTTCAAGGATATCTCTGAAGAGCAGAGTAATCGAGTTTATTTTTATCTTTCATTTTATTTTGCCACTCATTGTGTCAAATCAACAAAAACCACAAATGAAACCAAAGCAAGAATCAAGTCTTTGTTTCTTCAAATACTGTCAAGAGAAGAACTAGCTCCCAAGCCAGTCTTCTGTATAGTATTTCCATGAACTTAGATGTTTTTCCCAGAAAAGGACAATGCATTTAAATCTATCAGCATGGGATGACCCACTGCCCCTACATGCTTTCCCATGTAGGAGCTTAGTTACATCAGCACACATGCCAACTTTTGTTCCTCTCTCAATAAGAGAAATTTGCTCACCAATTTTTAAAATACTGTGGTATGACAAATTAAATAGGTCATGCAGCCAAAACYCCAACCAGAAAATGTAGAAGGAAATATTCCAGCATAGAGTGGTCTAGGTCTTAAATCTACTGATCTAAGCATAAAAGTGTGAACTCTGAGCTCTTGAATCCCATCCTACACTCTGACATCAACCTTGCTGAGATATTGGAAAAGAAAGAAGACACCTTGTCTCTGTCCGCAAGCTTACCTAAACAATGCTCTAATTTACTTAGCCTTTAAAATACATTACAGGTAATAATCCTTTATCCACAAATATATCAGGTTTGAGGAAAAGAGCTTGTTTCAGCCAGTTTGTCAAAGGCATGAAATAGGCAATATCATGCCAGATCACAAGTCTGAAAATCATATTTAATTCCAAATGGAAAAGTGCAGTTATAACATAAAGTCCAATGTAGTGATGCTTTAATATTTTCCAAAAACTAAATCACATTAATCTGAGAAATACCTTTATCATCATGCCCTCTTGCTCAGAGAGATTCAGGTTTTTGCTATGCCACAAAAACAACCTCACTATAGAATACACAAATATAAACTTATCAAATTCTGCAACGTACTTGCTTCTTATGACCTACTTCCTTTAAAACCAGTTATTTTAGAAACAACCAGTGCTTACATACACACATTTCTATTATGTTTCAAACTCTCAAACCTGCCATCACTTCTACTGATATTAGCTGCTGCATATTCTTTTTATTTGTGAGGGAAGTGTGTAAATAGAGCTAGACATGTGTCCAAGTATTTTGCAGGGTTACAACCTAAGTCAAGCCCAAACAAAAGGGCACTGCTGAGCTGTTCATTGTCCTGCTGCTACTTCTCTGCAAAACCACCAAGGACAACTGCTTAGGGTGGTAGGAACTTCAAAACTATTGAGATGATAACCTTATGCCAACAAAATCCAAGAGAGGATATCCGTTCACTGGAATCCATAATTTCATCCGTCCTAACTGTCAGGCCCCTATTAATATATGTCAGTTTGCAAAGGGCATGAACAATCTTCAGAAGSTGAATTCCTTCATGCACAAATATATTCAGATATTATGTTAATGACATTGATATACTGAAATATATTTTTATCATATACGTTAATGAGATTCAGATATCATGTTCAGATCTTAATGATCAGATACTCTGTTTTGAGATATTCTGCACACAAGCACACGTCACCAGCCACATTTGGTTCCTATTCTGAGGCCTGAGAGCCTCCCTCCATTCCCATCTCACAGCTAAACACCACTGCACTCTACATGGGGTAAATGGGGGGTAGGARGGGGCAGGCTTCAAGTCATGGAAATACATCAAAGCGAGAAAGGTTAAAAAAAGTAAAAGATAGGACTAGTCCTTACCCAGGCCACATAAAATTCAGGTGAAAAATAATTGGTTTATTACCAAGTACACAAACAGAAGAAACCTTGATTAGGGGACAGAACAATGTGAACATTACCTTGGCAATTCTCAGCCCAGTCATTCAGCTGAAAGATCTCCTCAAGGCAGCTGCTTCAGAGCCTGCAAATTAAAATAATAGAAATATAATTAACACAAAAACATTTATTATAATACTGAAACATCTCACAATAAGAGTTAACCAAAAAGATAAACTTCCCCTTTACAGAGCCTTGTGCCTGCTCAAGGAAACACAACAGACCTGCAGCAAGGACACAGGGGCATTTGGAAGACCCCAACCACTTTAGCAAATTCATTAGTGGAAGTGCATGGTTAGTTTACCAAAATAAATAAATAAAACCCTCCCTTTTTCTTTCCCCTTCCATAAATATGATGAAAAATAAATTATTTAAAAATTAAAGGCATTTAGAATAATAGCCCTCCTAATGCAAAGTATTTATTTCTTCTTTCATCATCCATAGTTTATCACATTGATTTTTTTTTTTCCTGCAGTTTACTTAGTATTAGACTTGCACTGATCTCATCAATAAGAAATGAATGTTGGTAACTTTCAAAACCACTATATTATTTTTCCTTTTATTTGTAGTGAATTTTTCTTCTCTCAGTGGTATTACTGCAATAAGTCAGTCATTACTTCTTTATGTTTTCCCTCCTTTCTTTAGTATTTCATTTCCCTTTACAGCACATCTCATGATCACAAAGAAAACAGAGACACTTATTTCTTTTAACAGTTGAAATTGCTGCAAGTGATTTAACTGTCATTTAATCTGATTCCTCTCTTCTGTCTGTGGAGAAATATGTTTAATGTACTGGAAATTATGTTAATAAGAAAAAGCATTATCTCATTTAATGAAATAAATATACAAATATTTCAAAATAAAATAAAGAGGCAATCTTCACTGAGGACAAAATGTCTCTTATGGTTTGCATAAAATAAACAAATGAGAAAAATTAATGAATACATTGAAATATACTGACAAAAATTATGCCTACACTCAAAGGGAAAAAATAAAAGGTGACTGAATTGTCTCTCACCTAATCAAATGTTTTTTAAGAAAACACAAAAACCAGCATAAAGGATCATTCTCCTTYTCTCAAAGACATCAGTTTTCCTGTTTTTTTACTTTCTTCAATTCGTGTTGAAATAATATTTATTATTTAATGACTGCAATTACTTCATCCTTTAATTATCTTTGATCCTTTGCCACAAAACATATTTAATTTACAGCAAGGAACTTTGAACCCCTCTTTAGGTAATCGGAACACAGTCAATAACTCCATTTCTAAGCTTTTACATTATTGAAGTATGTAACTAGCATGCACTAAGGTTAAACAAATATTGTTAGTGGTGAGAGCAAAACTTGTAGTAATTATGTAATAAAAGCATGACCACTGCAACAGAAACACATAATTAGCAATTTAATTACAGACATCAAAACAAACTAAAGATGTCAATAAAAAAAATCTCGTGTGACAAACCAATTTCATTTCCCTCTTCTGCAATTCTAAATCTTAATGTACTACTTTATGTTTTCTTGTATTTCAGAAATAAACAGCGCAAAGCAAAAAGCAGATACTTGGGGTGGTCTGTTTGAGAGCAGAAGTGGAAGAAATTTGAAGAAATCTGTTTTACTTTCTCATTTTTACAAAATGATACGATAGTGGGTTGTTTGTCTGCCGTTTTTACATTTTCTTTTAAAATAATCCACAGTGATGAATATACAGGGCTGCAAATTCATTTGGGCAGTCGTGGTGCTTGCTCYACAAGCCTCTCTGAATGCCCCGGTTTCACTCTGATTTCTCCCTCCCTACAAAGAGTCACAGATCAGATCTCCCGCAAAGCTGCTTTTGAAACCAAGAACAACTAAGTCCGATGTGAGAGCTTAAGTTATTTTGCTTGAAACAAAGTTTTACTTTCCTGTGATTTTGATTTATAAAGTTGTGAATCTAAATTTGAGAAGGAAAGCAGCAATGCAACGAGCATTGCAGGTAAAAATAAAACAGTTGACCTTTATTCTTTAAGAGCACCTAAAAACCCTTATCCYGGAATTTTAAACTCACTGACACCAGCAATGTGAAACTCCTAGGAGTTTCAGTGGGCATTTCAAGTCATGTTTCTTGAGAGACTACAATTTCTATTCTACTTGAAGAGTTTTCTGACACTTATCCTCCTGAAAATATTCATGGTTAAAATATACACACACCCCACTTACTACAGAGATCTTCCATCTTAAGGTCTACAGCCTGTTCATCTTGGCTCGATGCTTAAGTCACTTCTGGCCATTACATTAAACACAATAAAACACATTTTCTCTGAAATTCAGAGTGTAACTCACAAAAATCCATTTAAAATTAAAACTATAATAATTAAAAATACAACCATTCTCTGTCTCAATGGAAGGCTTTATTTTAATGGATACGCATCATTCTACTAAATATCAATCCTACAGAAACATTTGCTATAGTTTTTGCAAACAAGGTTTACAGAGATACTCAAAAAGGATYATACTATATATTGGAGAGCTTTATTTTCTTATTTCAAGGTTTATAGGGCATTTAAAAGCAGAAAGATACAGTGGATTTTTTTAAACTAAGGTCAAGAATGTTTGGGAGTACAAATGATTTAGAAAATTACTCTCCTGCCATGCAAAAATATTACACTGTATACAGATATGTACTCAAAAAACTCMCTAATTCAATAAGATGAGAAAGTAGGAGGTTTAGTATAAAATCTTCTCCACTACTCTAATACGAATGTCAACATCACAGGATCTTTAAGGTTGGAAGGGACCTCTAGAGATCATCTAGTCCAATATAAACCACCTTATGAAGATGCCACAGACCTCACCAGCCCCAGCCCTGAGGACATCCCTGTCCCACAAGGGCAGTGTGGACCCATCTCCTCAGCTCCCTTCTCCTGGTGCTAAACCAGGGCATTCCACTGCCACAAGGGCTGCAGACCCCCTCAGGAGCTTGTCCCCAAGCCTGTTTCTGACTCCAACTCAATGGGCTTCTTGAGTGATTTGCTTGGTGAAAGACAGATTCCCCAGCCCTGGAAAAAAGCCAATTTGGAGAGCTTGCCACAAGTTGGGAAGAGCAGACCAGCAAAGGGCAGCTCAGGGCAGCTCCACTGCCAGGAGCACAGCCCAGCAGAGACCATCTCCAAGCGCCTCCGAGTCCTGCCTGCGTCGTGCCAAGAGCTGCTCCAGCCTCCAGGGCTGCTCTGGATTGAGACCCACAAGTTTGGCAATTTAAAGAGTTACAGTCATCTCATAGGTTCTGCTCTAACAATACTTCAGGGAGCTGCATCAGAAGACTGGAAGCGCTAAGGTTTTTGATTCCAATGTCTTATTGGAGTGATCAAAAGACTATTGTCACGAGCAAGCCCTCTTGTCAAGTTAAAAAAATGATATACTTCAAAATAAGATGTCTGTTTTTAAGCAGGCTGCTTTCAACTTGCACCAAAAAAAGCTCTGCCTGACAATCCTAATTTTTTCTCCATTTAAATTTTTGAAAGAACAACATCCTCTCTTCAAATAATAATTTTAAATGGGAAAGTTGAAGTGTATTCATTTTTCTTAATTAAGTTATTTAAGGCTTCTAAAATGAACAACTCTTCTGTTTTTCTTTAAAACTTTAAGTTTGTTTCTATTTAACTTTGTCTCCAATTGCCCCTTCTGCTTTCAATAGGAAAAGAAGCAGCAGAAATAAAAAAGAAACAAGAAAGGAAACACTGCAGGAAGACAGCTGAACAGCCAACCTATTTAGAGTGTTATCTGGCAATATTCAACTCCAAGGAAGTTTTTTTCCACTGAAGATACTTAGTGTACTGAACTTCAGCTGTGTTGCACATTAAGCTTTAAGGTCAGAGGAAGATGAAATTAAAAGAAAAGGCTTTGTTTCTTACATTGATTGATGAAATCTGCAGATATACCCCTTCTCTGCCCACGCTGTGAACAAAACCAGAAGGCACTCAACAGGTTCAGCTTCCACCAACTGTCAGGGTCCATAAACTCATCAAGGGAAAGCCTGGCCCAGATGACCTGCTTGCAGCCACATCTCCAGCTCTGCACATCTTCCTCTCCAACACATTTCCCATGCAGTCTCAAAGAGGGACATCCCCTGGGAAGGAGATGCCTGTACCATGTTGGTAAGCCTCTACATGGACCAACTAGAATTAAAATGTGAGAGAAAGGAATAAGTGTATATGGAACCTAAGCTATACAGACCTTTCAGCACTGAACAAATCAGACCACAAATATATATTTTTTTAACTAAGACAACATGCTTAATCAGCTCCACTAAAGCATTAAGGAGTACTGTACACTTTCTTAAATCGCACTCTTTTTCAAGAGCTGCAACTGAGTGCAAATGCCTCAAAACCTTCAGGATCCGTGACTCATTTCAGAGAGCTACCAAATAACTGAAGATCAAGCTTCTACCAAGAGCCTCCTCCCACAAAGCAATCTCAAAGAAGATGCTTCAGAATGAAAGTAAATACAAGATACAGCCATCAGCTGGTTGAAGCCATTTAGCAACTCAGCATGGGCTCTGTTAGGGAAAGATCTCTACTGCAGAATTCCACACTGGCTTAAGCTAGGTCAAATACAACCTTCAATCAAAACACCAGTTACAACATAGCCCTATTACTGGGTGGGATTTTTTGGTGTGTTCCCCTTCCCTCCTTATAAAGCAAGGCTTTTGGCTTTCCCGTTCTTCATAGGAGTCTGGAGGCACACTGACCAAGGGGGAAACGTACTGGGGACATCACACTTGATCCTTCAGGCCTTCCTCACCCCTCTGCCTATCTTACAGAAATGGCAAGGGTGGCAAGCTTGCCTTTCTCCACACTAATACAAGTTGCAGACACCTCACCAGCCAACATGACAAGTTCCTCATATCTGCAATGAGGAGCAGCTATCCAGACACGACTCCATGCTCAAAAACAGGAGCAGAAAAGAGAAATTCCCAAGCACCAATGATGACAAAGTTCCCATTCCGCTAACTGGGCTTTTGTCCTTCCTCATCCTTCTAAGGAGTCGATCAACTAATTAGCCAACTGCAAAACTGCAAAATTTTGGTGAATTATGTTAAAAACCATT